AAAAATTCCATCCAAAGCTCATTTTGAAGAGAAAGACATTTCCTACAACTCATCTTCATACTTCAAGTCCAAGAAATGCTCTCACAAAAAGTTATCAATTTCAACATTATAGGTCATTTTCAAAAGTCAACAAAAAGGGACTTTAAGTCAAAGGCCATAACTTGAGATTGGTAAATCAAAATGACATGGGACCAAAGGCATTGGTTAAAGGACTCAAAGACCTTTCCAAAATGTCCAAGAACATGTGAAAAGCTTAAAAATTGAGCAAGTTATGCCTTGTAGAAGTTGGGAAATTTTTGTGAAATGGCAAAAGTCAACTATCCTTGAAAATCCAATTTTTGACAAAAGGGCCCCATTTTTTCCACTTGGTTCATCCTTGTCATGCCACACACGTGTCCCATGGTTAATTTCAAGACCAAATATTGATTTTTTTATTTTATTTAATTTTTGATGATTTAATTCATTTTTAATCTTTGAAAATTCAAATAAAATTTAAAAACCAATGGAATAGTGTCATGTGAACTTGGACAATTTCTATGTATCATGAACCAACTCAAGAAATTAGGCTAGGGTTCATTTGCACACTAGGTCTAGGTTTTGGCTAAAAAGGAGGAAAATGGTTAAGGATGAAAACCCTAGGACTTATTCTTTCCCAAGCATGAATTAAGGTGAGTTAGCAAGCCAATTCCATTCCATGATCATCACTAAGTCAAACCCTAGGCCTAACACATCACAAGCTGCGCCCAAACAAGCTTTTGAATATTGAAAATTTCTCCTTAAAAGACAAATCTGAAATCAGTGCTAGAGGATCTTTCAAGCCTTAATTTTTGTTCCATAAGCATCCTTAGACATTCCTGAACGAATCTCAATCACAAACAACAACAAAAGCGTAAGGAATTGGTGGATCGTACTCAAACTGTACAGAACCTTTTTTGAAATCGTGTTCTCAATTCTAAGCCTCTTCATTGCATTTCAAACATATATCCTTGTTCCTTGCAAAGTTTCTAAGCTCTCCATTATATTCAATTGCATTTTTAGTGATCATACGTGATTCCACCATTTTCATGTTCTAGGGTTTTGTAGAGTTTAATTTAGGGCTTTTATAAATAAGAAAAATCAGAGCTCAAGACCATTGCCATCACACCAACACACTTTCAAAAAACTTTCAAAACAAACTTTTCAAACACTCTGACGTACGAGTCGAACTGAAACTTTTCAAAGAATATTTTTGAAACCCACATTGAAAAGCAAGCAAACATTTTGAAAACACATTGAGCAAGTATCTAAGAGCCCATGGATAACCATGGATAGAAAGGGTGCTAACACCTTCCCTTTCTATAACCTACCTCCCGAACCGAGAGCAATCTCTATAAGGAATTTTTCTGTGCTTTTGTCCTTTCCATTTGGAGAAAATAAAAGACGGTGGCGACTCTTGCTTCCGCGACATTTCGCGAACCAGCTTTAAACAGTCAGTTCCAGATCCACCGATCACAAAAGTCATCACAAAAGATCATGGTCCCTAAACGTCCCTCGAGTTGCCTTTCGGTAAATGATCTTGTCCCTCGATGTTGCCTATATGATGACAGTCCCTTCGAACGCTAAGATATCCATACATGTTACCTTCGATGACCATAAAGTCCCTTTCGATAGTCCCTCAACATCCAATGATAGGGCTACTTACTCACTAACAGTATGATAGCACTATCTAAAGGAAAGGAGGAAAAGAACATCTTTTTTTGAGTAGGTAGACCGTTCTTAACTACTTGCTCAAAAACCTAAAATTTTCACACTTACACACTTTCAAAAATCTTTTCAAAACGCTTTATCACACTCTTGAGGACTGATACAAGAGTTACCATAAAGCAAACCAAAAAACTTTCAAAAACACACAAACACAAACAATTTTTAAAAAATGAACAAGTACCTAAGAGCCCGTGGAAAACCACGAATGGAAAGGGTGTTAACACCTTCCCTTTCCATAATCTACCCCCCTTACTCAGAAAATCTTAAAAAAGGTTTTTTTCTATTCTTTTCACCCTTTCCTTTGTTGGATAAAAGAAAAGTTGGTGACGACTCTTGCTTACCGCGACATTTGCGAACAATAAATGCAAAAGCAGTATTAAACAGTTGGTTATGTCATCGTATCACAATATTCACAATGTGTTAGAGGACCTTTAAATCCATTCATATATTTTTTATGATTTTTATTTCTTTTATTTGAATTTGTATTCATTTAAATGCAAGTAAATCAAATAAAATATAAAATCATTGGGTCAAGGCGCATGGGCTTTTGATTTCAATCGCATGGTGGCCCAAGAACACGTGACAAACATGTCAAAACCGTGACAGACCTATATGGAAGCATATCTTTATTATTTTGGAAAGTTTCAATTGTTGTATACCTTTGCAAAGAAATAATACATTTGCAAAGATCCATTAGAGAAAGGAGAAATGTTATTCCAGGTGATTACATAGTATTTTTTCAAGAACATGAGGAAAATAATGATAAGTTGATTGAAGCAATGAAGTAGGAGTATAAGTCAATGTAAGACAATAAAGTTTGGGAACTTGTCCCATTACCAGAAGGTGTGAAACTCATTGGTTGCAAATGAAATTTTAAGACCAAGCGAGATTCTAACAGTAATGTAGAAAGGTATAAAACTCGTTTTATGGTTAAGGGCTATACTCAAAAGGAAAGGATTGACTTTAAAGAGAATTTCTCTCCGATTTTATCGAAAGACTCTTTTAGGGCAATCATGTCTCTTATTTCACATTATGATATGGAAATCCATCAAATGAATGTCAAAATTATATTCCTCAATGGATGTTAGGCAGATATTTAACCAATCCAGGAATGGATCATTGAAAGCAGCCAAAAAGATTATAAGGTATTTAAAGAGAACAAAAGACTATATGCTCACATATAGGAGGTCAGATGAATTAGAGATCACTGGATATTCTGACTCATATTTTGTTGGTTGTCAAGATAGCAAAAAATCCACTTTAGGCTATATATACATGTTGATTGGTGGTGTAGTTTCTTGGCTCAATGCCAATAAAACTCTTACGGCTTCATCTACCATGGCAACATAGTTTATAGCATATTATGAGGAATCCAACCATGGGATTTGACTGAAGAATATTGTCACTGGACTATGAATTATGGAAATAATTGAAAGACCACTTAAGTTATACTTTGACAATACCTCATCCATCCTGTAACAACAATAGGATCTCGGCCAAGTCAAAATATATTAACATCAAGTTTTTAGTTATTAAATAAAAGGGTACAAAGTGGACAAATTTCTATAGAACACTTGGGGACAAACTCCATGATAGCAGACCCTCTTACAAAAGGTCTTTCACCCAAGGTCTTTTATGAGCATATTGCTCGCATGGGTGTTATACCTTTAGAGGAGTCTTTGATTTTGTGGGAGTTAGTCGATTATGAATTCTATGTTATGTGTTTTGGTATTATGCATGCATACTATGATTTTGAATATTTTCTAAATTAATAAAGTTTGATATTCAGCATGTTACATTTTGTACAATAAAGTTGTTGAATGATCTCACTAAAGTAAAGTAGGACCAGTTGAAAATCGACAACTTCGTGTGATTTCATGCTACACGTTTCATGATGGATCTATGTGATTTAGTTGTGTCACTATTGGTGATCATTGATGGATTTAGTTATGATTACTATAACAAAAAATACTTTGGTTTTGAATAGTGACATGATTAATGGACAAGATAATTTGGATATGCTTGAACTATTTAATGGCAAATTTTGAGCTCATAAAGTCTAACACAGATGTAAAGTTACATATGTGACCAATGGAAGATTGTTAGAATTTTGGATCATAAATGTGACATTTTAGATATTAGTGCCATTATTTTAATTAGTCAAGACTTAAAGGGGTCTAAATAATATTAATATTAAGTTTGCGGCTAAAAGCATAAATGTCATGAAAGGTCAGGTTATTGTATAGATATCATAAGTCAATATCTAATTTGATGAGGGACCAAATTATAATATTGAATACTAAGAAATAACCATAAGATTATTTATAGGGGTTATGGTCCCCATTTGTTCACAACGTGAAAATGACTCATCTGCAAAATTCTCTCTTCATCCCCATCAGAGGAGATTCAAGGAGCCATAAGGAACTCTACAAATTGGAAGATCACATGTCTGCAAACCTTCGATGATTCTCAATGGCAAATTTAGATACACTTTTGCTTTCATTTTTATAATTGTATTCAGATATGAATTTAAGAGTTTTATTTAGAGTTTTGTTCTTAATTTCTATATTGATAGAAATTCTAAGGTTTATGAACAAAATATTATGGATGACGCTATTATCATGGATTGCAGATGGCTTGAGAATTTGACATCAAAAACCTGAAGTGTTATTCTGACTTCAACTCTACTATCAAACTTATCTTAGAGTTTGCTAATATTTGACATCACATGTCATATTTCTTCACAACATTAAAGAACTTCTCTCTAGAAAATAATAGATTCAAATATTTCATATTCTTAGAAAGAAAAATACTTGTACCAACTATCTAGCAAAACAAGAGACCGATAATGGTGCGCCTTTTTTTGGGGAGCCACCAGTAAGAAGCATAATTTTTCTATTCACTGTTCTTAATGAAACGTTATTTTTTTAGATATTTCTTACCTTTTTTTCTTTTCTTTTTCTCATTTGTAAAAAAAAATAAAACTATCCATAATTTCGACTAATGTAGAGAATATTTTATTTCATGTGCAAAACGCTTTTGCCAATATAAAGAAAAGCAAAAGAAAAAGATTAGTTGTCTCCTGTAGTACTTATTTCCAAAAGCAAAAGCTACGTCAAGCACTTTCTCCATGAACCATTTGATAATAAACAGCACATCACATGCCATTAATCATTCAAACAGAGAAATAACGACTATATATATAGGGCACTAGCTAGATCAAGTTCTTCAAGTGAAAACCAAATACTATGAAACAAATGGGTGGTGGTTCCCTATTTTCTCTTCGCATTATTGTTTCTTTACTTTTCCTTTTTATGTTCTTGCTAGAACCCGTCTATGGAACTAAAAAGGTAGACTTGTTTTCATTGATTTCATGTTTCTTGTTACAAATCATGATTTTGCAATTGTGTTGCTAAATCCTCATTTTACCAACCGTTGGTTTTGTTGTATAGTGTTATATTGTATACTTGGGAGCACATTCTCATGGTCCTAACCCTACATCTCTTCAACTTGAAATTGCTACCAATTCTCATTACGATTTACTAAGTTCAACTTTGGGCAGGTATAAAATGCATCATATGACTATTTATAGTACTATTATCTTTTTAATAAAGTTTATATCGGTAAGACAACTCAATTGATAATTATGCAGAGATATTAAATGTAGAGGTGTCTTCACTTAGTCATTTGAAGGAACTATACACTATATTAAATTTAACAAATCAAAGATAATATAATTAATAAAAGTGTTAGAGCTATAATTCATACTATTGGGAAAGAGATCTATAATTCAAATCTTGACTACTAGCATCATGACTACTAGCATCAAATATCAACAAATATCAACAAATAACATCTGGCTATAGAAAAATATGTTCTCTTCAAAAAGTACGTATAACATGTTACATAATGATAACCAACAAACTTATATAAGAAAATATTTCATTGGACAATTTACTTTTCACAATCATCACCTTCCCTTGCATTTATTTATTATGCATACTTTAAAATTTTATTTATTTCACTTTTAAAAAGTTGAAAACCATTACGCTCCGAAAAAAGTTGATGGATATATCATACGTGCATTGTTTTACAGTCGAGAGAGAGCAAAAGAAGCAATCATTTATTCATATAACAAACACATCAATGGATTTGCTGCTCTACTTGAAGAGGATCAAGCATCAGATATTGCAAGTGAGAATTCTTCCATATTGACTAAATTTAATAATAAAATTTGAGACCAGTTTTATATTTTTTTTGTCATTAACTTTCAAGTATTAAGGATCTAATTAAATTCTGGTTTAAAATTAGTTGACATAATAATGTTTCCATTTGGACAGAAAAAGCAAATGTAGTGTCTGTATTCTTGAGCAAATCTCATAAACTGCACACTACTCGTTCATGGGAATTTCTTGGACTGCGTAGAAATGGTAACACTGCATGGCAAAAGGGAAGATTTGGTGAAAATACAATAATTGCCAACATTGACACTGGTAAGCTTTTGGATTTTTGAATTAATTATTGTTCTAGTTGTTAAAAGAGCAAGTTCTTTTACAACTACAAGTTAAAGTTACATATCAACAATTTTACATTGAAATTGAATAGGTGTTTGGCCGGAATCCAAGAGCTTCAGCGACAAAGGATTTGGCCCCATTCCATCGAAATGGCGTGGGGGCAAAGCTTGTCAAATTCAAAAATTTGGCAAACTCAAGAAAAATCCTTGCAACAGGTTCTTTTTCTCTCTTGTTTAAGACTTAAACACAAATTTCATTTTTATCAGTTTAATTATTTTTCTGCTATATGTATATATACATAAAAACAGGAAGCTAATTGGAGCAAGATTCTTCAGCAATGCTTATGAAGCATATTATGGCAACCTTCATCCATCGCTACTCACCGCACGCGACTTTGTAGGTCACGGAACTCACACTCTATCAACAGCGGGTGGAAACTTTGTTCCAGGAGCAAGTATATTTGCTATTGGGAATGGTACTGTAAAAGGCGGTTCACCAAGAGCTAGAGTTGCAACCTACAAAGTGTGTTGGTCTCTAACAGATGTTGCTGACTGCTTTGGTGCTGATGTGTTAGCTGCTATTGATCAAGCCATTAGCGATGGTGTTGATATAATCTCACTTTCCGCTGCTGGCCAGTACCTTGTTAATCCCGAAGATATTTTTACAGACGAGGTTTCAATAGGTGCATTTCATGCACTTTCTAGAAATATATTATTAGTTGCTTCTGCAGGAAATGATGGACCAACACCAGGAAGTGTTGTAAATGTTGCTCCATGGGTATTCACAATTGCTGCAAGTACATTAGACAGAGACTTTAGCAGTACTATAACTTTTGGCAACAATCAACAAGTGACGGTAAATGTTATCCTAATTCTGATTATTCCTCGTCTTATTATTATTATTAACTAATAGTAGCTATATTTGAAATAATTGTTTTCTATTTCTATTCCTAGGGAGCCAGTCTTTTTGTAAACTTGCCACCAAACAAAGCCTTTTCTTTGATTCTTGCTACGGATGGTAAGCTTGCCAATGCGACGGATCGTGACGCGTAAGTACAAATCTCAAATAAAATTCCAAACTAATCAAATGATGATTTCTCACACTTTTTACATGTATTGTTGCAGACAACTTTGTAGGCCGGGAACACTTGATCCTACAAAAGTGAAGGGAAAAATAGTGGCATGCAGTCGAGAAGGAAATATAAAATCAGTTGCTGAAGGTCAGGAAGCTTCATCTGCAGGCGCAAAGGGAATGCTTTTGAGCAATCGACCACAACAAGGGAGAACCACTCTCGCTGAGCCTCATGTTTTGTCTTGTGTTAGTCAGCCACATCAAGAAAACATTTACCATCCTCCTGCTTTACCAGAACGTGGAGGGTCACGTGCTCCTGCCTTTGACATAACGTAATTGATTATATATCAGTCCTACTCTTCCTCCTCAAAACACTCAGACACACACATTAAAGCTGTTACATATGTTGACATGTTACAAGAGAAAGGCTCTAATCATACACATTATGCTTATAATTGCAGGGACTCTAAATTAAAAACAGGTACCACAATAAGGTTTTCAGGAGCAAAAACATTCTATGGAAGAAAGCCAGCTCCAGTAATGGCTTCATTCTCATCTAGAGGACCCAATAAGATTCAGCCATCAATACTCAAGGTTGTCAACTATCTATAACACATGTTATATATATTTGTCATTAATTTTTTGGATGCGGTTTTTTAAATTTGTTTTTGTTTCAGCCTGATGTAACTGCACCAGGTGTGAACATACTTGCTGCCTATTCACTATTTGCAAGTGCATCCAACTTACTAACAGACAATCGCCGAGGAGTTCCATTCAACGTACTACAAGGAACCTCTATGTCTTGCCCTCATGTGGCTGGAATTGCAGGACTTATCAAAACAGTCCATCCTAATTGGAGTCCAGCAGCTATTAAATCAGCTATCATGACCACAGGTAAACAAACACTCACAATACATTTGCCTTCTTTTTATCAAACAATTTTTTTTAAACTTAATTAGTTATATATCCTTCCAGCAACCACACGAGACAACACGAACAAGCCAATTCAGGATGCGTTTGCCAAAAAACTGGCAACTCCATTTGCTTATGGTTCGGGGCATGTACAACCTGACCCTGCAATAGATCCTGGACTAGTTTATGATCTAGGCATCAAGGATTACTTGAACTTCTTATGTGCTTATGGGTACAACCAACAGCTCATTTCAGCACTTAATTTCAACGGTACATTTACCTGTTCCGGATCTCACAGTATAGAAGACTTGAACTACCCTTCAATCACATTACCAAATCTTGGTTTATACATCGTTAACGTAACTCGCACAGTCACCAATGTTGGATCACCAAGTACATATTCGGCAAAAGTCCATTTGCCTGGATATAAAATTGCTGTTATACCAAACTCGTTGACTTTCAAGAAAATTGGTGAAAAGAAAACATTCAAAGTTATTGTGCAGGCAACCAATGTGACTCCAAGGGGGAAATACCAATTTGGGGATTTGCAATGGACAGATGGAAAACACATTGTAAGGAGTCCTATCACAGTTAAGCGCAGATAAACAATATCTTCAAAACTCGTTCTGTCAGGGTATTACAATGTGGTTAAACATGTCAATGTGTTTGAGTATTAGGATTTCATGTTATCAATAGTAGTGTGTTTTGGTTATTTTATCATTCGTTGGTTGTCTACGATTATGGTGTGTTTTGTAATCTGATGTGAACCTTGAAGGGGCACTGTAGACCAAATCTTCAAGAGTTGAAACTTAGTTTCAAGAATAAGGTGCATGAAAGGATTCCCATTCTTACTTGTTTGAGTTTAATGAAGTTGTAATAAAAAGCGTGGGTGTAGAATATTTATTAATTAGACACCAACACTTAGGTTTATTGTATTTTTGTGAGTGTTTTGATCCAATGTCGGTCATTACATGTGTGGTTCGCAGCCTTAGTTTCCCTTTGTTTTGTGTGCTTTTGTTGAAATAAAAGTGGATTGAATAATGATTGAAGGGTGGAGCCCAAGATAGCTCAAAATAGAGTAATATAAATTTCATTTCTTTTTATTATTTTCTTATCCTTTAATACGGGTGAAATTCGTCTTAAAATTTTCAAATTAAAAATCTATAAAAATGTTAACAATACAATTTATTGATTTACCCAACAATAAGAATAGTAATAGATTATTGTCTTTTTATTACAAAAATTAATATAGTTATATATAATAAAAATCCATATAAATAACAAAACAATTTTACTAGGCTAGCCAATGAGACTAATTTTTGAAAATCTAAAAATAGGATATTTGGCCCGTGGGTTTCATATTATCCGTTTATATAATTTTAGTTACTCACTCCATTTTTTAATTATAAATTGTTGTTTACCTATGACTTTTCATATATATTTTAAATATAATAATTATTGTATCAAAAAGAGAAATTATAAAAGATTTTATAAAATTATTCTTTGTTAATGATATAATAAAAAGTTTACATAATAAAAAAAAATTAAAGATATAATAAGAAAAATCGTATTAATGATTAATTGATATTTTAAAATGATTTATATTGTGGTAAATTTCTTTTTCATAACAGATTTATAAAAAATAAAAAAAGAGTGAATAATTATATAGTTTACTAAAATTCTAAAGTTATGATTGGGAGTTTAGAGGGGAGAGAAAGAAAGGATTTTTAAATATAATTTTTTTTTTAAATATAAATAAAATTTTAATATTTTCTGAAAGAAAAAAATTATTTAGAATGATAAAATAATGTTTATTATTAATTGATTTTTAGTTTTTGAAATACTATAACAATAAAAATTATATTTGAATTTGATTAATCTTCCAAAATCCTCATCTAATATAAATTTGGATTTCTCTCAAATTAGGAGGTTTTTAGTATTATGAAGAAAAATAAACTCTCGAAAACTTTCTTAAACAAAAATTTTCTATTTTTTTCACTCGATCCTTCTTATTTTTCAAAATCCTCTTCTTCTTTTACCTCTTGGTGCACAAAGAAGAGATGAAAGGCAAAAAGAATATATTAAATGACGGTTACAAAAATAATGAATAATGATTTACAATGAATTACAATGAGCTACCTCACTAGGCTATTTATACACAATAAAATCCTAAATATCTTCTAACAAAGATATAAAAAGATATAATAATATCCTCTAAAAGATATTCCTAAAATATAGATTAAATCTAACATCATCCTTTAATTTATATTTTATCCAAAATTGACAACACTAATTTCATCCCTCAAGCGAAGAAATTGATCAGTCTTGATAGTCTTTGTTAGAACATTTGTCAGCTACTTCTGGGTGCTACAATGCACAACTTCCAATATTCCATTATGAACTTGACTTCTCAGAAAATGATGCTTGGTCTCAATATGCTTGCTTCTCCCATGTGTAGCGGTAGAAATGTTCAAGACTAAGCCATTAGATTGACTAGACTTTATACAAATCAAAATCAAAATCGTCACCGCACTTTATTGTTTCCAGGGGAATGGGAAAAGAGCGAATAACCCAAAAAAGAGGGAAAGATTCAAGGTAAGGGGGTTGGTTATGCAAAGGGAAGGTATTAGCACCCTAAACATATACGGTACTCCGTAGGAACCTCTTTGTAAAATCTGTATATTTTGGCTATAAAAATGTGTTATATAGAAAATGGATAGTGGAGGTGAGAAGAGAAGTATTTTTTTATGATTTTTGCACCCGCCGCGGTTGCGAACCTTTAGTGCCTACGTACTACCTTTCGTGCAATAGGGGATCAGGGTACACGTAGTTCCTCTTTTAAAAATTTGAAACACAAGTGTGTTGGTTGATTTTAAGAGATGAGACATCATCGTCATTGTCCGTGTGGAAAAATATACTTACTATCCACAATCATGAGAAAGGAGAATCTGCATCATCTCAAAGTAGAGGATATGGCTTGGATTTTAAAATCATCAATGCCTCACTCAACATCCAAGTGTAAAATATCTCACTTCACTACATATTGTAGAAGTACAGTTGTTTGCATCACTACAAGGATTGACAAGAGTCTAACCTTTTGAGAAAAGTTTAAAGATAAAAGCCAAAGTGGCAAAATAATTTGAAATGAGATTGATTGACTTTTAGTCTTCTCACAAAAACAATTTCAAGGTATTATTAAATTTATTGAAGTTTATTTATGAAAATGTTTTTGAAAATGCATGGACATAAGTCCAAGTTTATTATGAAAGTGTTTAAGTTTCAAAACAAGAAGGGTTTTCAAAAGGAGGGAGAAGATTTTTGAAATTAAAGAAGATGGGAGGAGAAGAAGAGGCTATCCTAAAGCATAAGGTAAAAGCTAAGGATAAGGACCATCTAACCAACAAGAAGCAAAAACTTGACATTAAGAGACAAGATAGAATTCTCATTCTTTGGATTAAAACCAAGCAAGCAAAGATACTAGACCTCTTCAAGTGTATTAAGTCTTCACAAAAATTAGGCAGAGTAACGGTTGTATGCGGGTGAATTTCAGATTACAAACAAAGAGTATAATCACAAAAACCTGCACACAAAAACAAGCAAGCAACCCAATGTCTTGAGGTAAACCTCAAGAACTCCAGACAAAATAATCAGACAAGATCACAAGGTCTCCAAGATAGGCCAATGTTTCTAATCTTAAGTCCAAGAAATAGTCCCATGTTCCATCATGCCAAGGATAGTAACCAAATAGTACAAGTACCATTAAGAGTTTTTTAGGGTTTATATTGATTATTAAGTATCTTAAGAAAAGAAAAGCTCAAGTGAGCAAAGAAAAAATGACAAGAAAATAAATGCTCAAATGAGAAAAGATGAAAATGACATGAAATGTAAAATGCTAAATAATAAATAGTACATAAAGCATAAAAAGAATAAAAGCATAAGATAAACAAGTCAATAATTAGTGGTTAGTTGGATGACCATCTTGAAACTTGCATTTGGAACTCATTCGAGGATTGGTAGAACCAAAGCCTTCATACAATAAGTTGCATTTGCTTTTTGTCAAGTATATCATCCATTTGAAATTCTCATAAGTATCATTTAATGATCAACGATGTTTAAGTGATCCGCGTTGACCAAAGGTGTTGTAGATCCATTAGAGGATTGATAGAACCAAAGCCTCCACACAATGAATCTCAAGGTTATTGGATCAAAGAGATTAAATTAACATACTTGGGCTTGCAATCATAAGTTTGGGCCACGAATGATCATTTATTCGAATCGGGACAAAATTTAGTGTTATGTTAAGCAATCATAAGTGGACTTATATAGAAGTCGCACCTATTTTGAGGTCGGTCAATAGAAATATATGCACCATTTGTTTTGAGACATGATATAGAGATCATGCTCCAACAACATTTAGTGCAATGAGAAGAGGATGAGATGAAGAGGGATTAGGGCAAAAAGAGAAACCACATTTGAATTAATATTTTAATCAAACTATTATTAAAATCATTCATCCATTTTTTATGGAGTTAAACTCAACACCATGGATCCAATGATGTTAATAAAGTCATGATAAAAAAAATCAACCCAAGACAGCCAGAAAATAATCACAAAATAATATCACATTTAATATATACATTAGAAGGTTAAAAAAAAGTTTTAAAATAGAAAATAATGAGGAAAATATCAATTATGTTCAAATTAATCAAGAAATGAAAAATAAGGTCATAGAAAAATCAGAAATGGATCCAAATATTTTTATAAATTTTTTGGTAATTTTTAAAAGTCAGAAACTATTTTTAAACTATTTAAAATTGCTAAAACAAACATAAAATAGATCAAAAATAGTAAACATCAACATAAAATTCCATAAAATTTCCAGAAAGTCAAAAATATGCAAAATAATATTTATGAATTTTTTCAGAATTAAAAAATGTCAGAAAGTATTTTTTTTAAGTAATTAAAAGAAAGTAAATAATACAAAAATATCAAATGTTAAAATAAAAATGTAAAAAAAAAATTCATGAGATCAGAAATAATTCAAAGTATTTTTGTGAATTTTTTCATAATTTTGGGATAAAAAATAAAAGAGTTATGAATTTTTGAAAATTTAATCAAATAAAATATAAAATCAGAAAATAAAATAAAACCAAAAAGATGTGGACCATCAGATCAAAGTCAAAACGCGTTAGTAAGCTAATCCAATGGACCAGACGCATTGTGCTTAATATGGACCTTAGTGAAACACACATGTGATCAGAAAAAGGGAAACCAATGAAATTAAAACGCTTGGCACGCTATCATTGGCTGAGACGGGACATGCCATCGTCTTAAACCTCCAGACATCCTGCAATGGGGATTTTGTGAGATCCTTCAAATGCAAAATTTAGGACCCCTGGCTAACATCATTGAACTTGTCTCTTCAAGACGATTCTAACACAACCATCGCGCCAAATTTATATAAAGTATGGAGAGAGATATGAATCAAAAACTCAGAAAATAGCGTGCACCTTCAATTTGGGATTTCTCTCTCAATTCTCAATGGATTTAAAAATTGTGAGCAGCATTAGAATCAGACAAAGGAGTAGAATAGATTGGTGCTTGA